TTGAACAGCGCTGACGACCCGGCGAGTAGCATATTTAAAAAAAAAGAACGTTTAAGGTTGTTTTAAGGACATTATCGGACATGCACTATGGAAGCCATTCTGAAGCAGCCAGGGGGGATTCTGCATGAGCCAAAAAGCAGAGACAGGACCAATTGTCAAAATTTTGGTGTCAATCATTCGATTTCATCCTGGACACTACAGAAAATGGGCTAAAAGTGTTAAAAACCGTAATTTTCCTTTAATGTTTTAAATCAGAGGTCTTCAACAGGGGGTCCGCGGCCCCTAGGGGTTCCAGAGAGGTACTGCAAAGTTTTGTTTAATAAGACTTTTTTTTATATATATATTCCACCCTGCAATTTTTTTCCACTAATTCAAATGTCTTTAAATCCACATTGACATATATTCAACACATTCAGCAACACACAGGAGCTCTTTCAAGTTGGGCACCGTTTCATTCACAACACCTGTCCCATTAACCAGGAATCAGAATCAGAAATACTGTAATAATCCCAGGGAGGAATTACTTTAGTTACATCACTCTATCTGTAATAGAGTGACTATAGGACCAGTTTGATATAACACAATTTAATACAATATATATAATTAGGTGGTCCCTGCTCCTTCTCGCCATCAGTTTGGGGGTCCTTGACCTGGAAAGTGTTGAAGACCCCTGCTTTAAATGTAAAATCCGACAATATGATGTGCAAGTTTTGGTGTTTTACAGTATGGAATAAGATAAATCTAAATAGAAATAGATAATGTGTTTATAAAATGAAAAATTTGGGCAGAAGAAATACTTCCAAATAACTTTTCAACATATTGTCAATCTTTAAAATAAGTAAGTCATATATGTGAGGAAAGGATAAAGAACTTCCCGTGGCGGTTTGAGGTTTTTTCATGGCGGCACAGAACAAGATAATAACAAACACACACACAAAATAAAAACAGGGCAAAAGCACAGCATTTAATGTATGAAGTGAGTCACAAAGCAAAGGTCTGGCTCCCTGAACAAAGACCCTTAACCCCACTCTGCTCCCAGGGTGGCGCACAATGGCAGCCCACTGCTCCCCGAGGGAATAGGTTGAATGCAGATAGTTCATTTCTTTTGTCTTTACTTGTAACAGTGGAATGACAATAAAAAAGCTGGATAAAAAAAGGTTGAAGACTGCTGAACTAACAGAGGAAAACTGTGATCTTTTCTCAGTATAACTAAGGCTTAAAGCTGACTGTAATTTCTAAATAATTGATTAAATAGTAAAGGTAAAATATCAAATTAGTCCAAGGGATGAATAATGTAGGGTCTTGTCTGTCAGCGTATATCATCATAAGACAATGGTTTACTATTACACTACCAAAACTAATATGAGAAAATTACAAATTTCATAACATCTGTGTATTTACCCTTAAATTAATCCGATAAAAGATATAAATTGCAATAGGAATATGTATTTCCACCCTTATATCTTATCTCTTTGAATTAAGATAAGATCTCACCTTCCTGTTCCGATCAATCAAAATTCACTAAATGAAAATAAAACAACACTTAGAAATCAATTATTTTAGTGTATGCTTTTATCACAGTTGCTATACCAGGGTTACTCAAGTTACTTTGAATGAGTTGATTAACCAGAAATTTAAGTCCAGTTAAAGTAGAAATACTGTAACAAAAAATACTCAAATAAAAATAAAGTACAGTAAAGTACAGTTATTACAAAAAGATGCATTCTATTCTAAAAGATAATCAATAAAATGTAACAATTCAATACCCACCTCTGTTCTACATAATAACTAAAACAATCAACATCATCACATTTTATGGAAATGGAAAATGAAAACAGAGACACAATATGTGTTAAATCATTATTCAATGCTAAACATACAGTTAGCTGGAAAATCTGAAAAAAGAAACATACTGAAAGTATTACGTAAAAAAATCTGTGGTAACAGATGTTAATTGTTGATACGTTTAACTGGAAGTGGGTTCCCAGATGGCCTGACTACCTCCATCACACATTGGAAATCAAACATACTGATGCTGAAGCTGCCATCTTTAGTATCTATCTATTTGTTTTCTATACTTTGTTGAATATTCACTCGAGCAGAGAGAATGTAAAGTTAAAGGTTAAACTATTAAATACTGCAAAATTGGAGAGTAGAGAAAGAATTAGGCAAAGTGAAGAGAAGTGGTCCCTATGTCCTCCAGAAGTCTAAGCCTATAGAAACATAACTATAGAGATAGATCAGGATAACCTGAGCCACTCTTACTATAAGCTTTATAAAAAAGGGAACGTTTTAAGCCTACCCTTAAAAGTAGACAGGGTGTCTGCCTCACGGACTAAAAATGGTTGTTTCCACAATAGAGGAGCCTGATAACTAAAAGATCTGCCCCCCATTCTACTTTTAGAAATTCCAGGAAATACGAGTAAACCTGAAGATTGAGAACAAAGTTTGAGATCTTGGAGCTTAAACCGTCTTGCTGTAAGGGAGCAGCGCTAACAATGCAAACATACTTGTGCATGCATTTGAAATTCTACTGATGTGTTTATTTGAATAAAAAGAAAACACAGCAACCTGAATATAAGTGGTACCATACTGATTAACTTCTTAACACCTGTCTATGAAAAGGCTGTGTTAAAGGACTGTTTTTAGTTCTGGGCTTTACAGGCACTTTCTTGAAAAACTTGCTTGTAAATCAAGGAAAGCCTAACAAGAACAGTTTGAGACCTTCTGAGTTGAATATTTTTAACTAATCGTGGGTTTTCCCATCTAGGTCTTCGTACCACAGGAGCATCTTTCTCTTTGTAAATCATTGGGATAGGGCGTCATGTGTAGCTGTTGAATCAAACTTCACAGATTTTGCACAAAATCCACACAGGTCAGTAGAGCTTCTCATCACTAATTCTCACCAAACAGTCATTTCTGTCAAATGTCAGTTTTACATTAGATTTAAAAGGTGACGTTTGTCACAATTATTAAAAGAAGACAATATTATGGTACTAAGTAAATGTAAAATCAAATTTTTTAATCAGAAAATGCCCCACAGTTTGCATTGAGGACAAAAAATATTTTACAGAGTAATATTTACAAACATTGAAGAGAATCGAAATAACCTTTATTGTCCCTTAGTGAGTGAAATCCAAGCAACAAAGTGAAACTCAAATAGAAGCTCACATATACATATAAGGAAAGAAATATAGAGCAACTTACCCTCAGGCACAAAAACACAGCTTCAGACATCGAATTAAAGCAGGAAGCAGAAAGAAGAACAACACCTAGAATTTAAAATTAAATAAAAACAAAAAATATTTAATGAAGTGCATTTAAAATCTGTTGAAAATGTTTTTTCCCTTCAGTGTTTTCTACATTTAGCAACTAAGCACCCCCATCTGCAGCATTGCACTGTACCTTATTTAGTTATTAAGAATAGTATAACAAAAAAAAGTGTGCAACTAAAAAGGATGATTTTAAGGAAATAGGCAAATGATAAGTGTATATTCCATTTGCGTGATAAACACAAGCAATTATTTACCAGAAATAAAAAAAATCCTGTAATGATGTAAACACGTTCATTTGCTGGGAGCAGAAATGGTTATTTTATCTAGCAGTAATTTAGCATGCAGCCACCTTCATATGTGCATGTACTGTACATGCAGCGTTTGTTTCTGAAGATGCTTCCTGAGATTCTCAGGTCTGACTGTCTATCTTGCCTGTTGTTCCCTTTGATGCACTCGGAGTCTAAAAAAAGCATGTGGCTTTCTGCAAAAGCACACATCCTGTAACAGACCTTTGAGAAAAAAAAAAAGAGGCAGGCGAGCCTCCTGCGTACCATCAGAGTGTGCAAGCAGAAACACGCTTCACACCCTGTAGAGCAGCTCAGCTAAAGAAAGAATCAGTTTAAGGAGTTAATTTTAAA